CCCCAAAACCCCAAAACCCCGGAGTACAATATGATTGATAATGTAAGTTGATATTTAAATTTGAATAAAATAGTATTATTTGACATAATATGAAACAGGCATCATTTGCATACAATTAAAACCATCACTTGCACAGTATAGTCCCTTCAGAGAATCTAATGGATGATAATGAAGACGATCCAATACATTTTTTCAATGGCCTAAAAGAAATATACTCAATGCACATAGAGTCTTTGACTTCTCTGAAGCGGATGGTGTTCAGTTCTTAGAACGAAGCATTTATGGATTAGCATTAAAAGTCTAAGATCAGAATAAACATCGAGAGTCTACTTATTGATTTGAATGAAGAGGTGTTTTCACTTTCGGAAGAACTAACAAGATCTATTACTAAGGGATTCAGTAAGGTATAAATAGAGCCATACAAGAGAGTGGAATTTGAAGATAGATTAAAACATATTCAGAAAAAGATAAAAGACAATATAGATGAAAATCCCTGCATAAAGATTATTAGAAGAAACATGAGAATATAAAATTAGACTACTTTGTCACCTCCCTAAAGAGACATTCAATCGCACTAGCAGACTATTGACTAAGATCATTAGAGAAGGTTATCTCCTTAGAAAAATTATGAAGCTATTTAACCTATGAGAAATTATGTTGAGCCTCCTCTTTCCACACGATAGTATGGGGACCATGGTTTAAGACTTGGCAGTGATTAGAAAAATTTTGAGACTCTAAACCCTTACAAAGGGGGTGGAAGAAATTCCCTAACTAAGAAAAAGTCTCCAACTCCTTTGAGAAGGAAGGACTTGACAGCTCTGCAGAGTGGCAGCAAGTCTTTTGTACAATAGAATTCAGGCTCAAAGAATAGAAGCAATCATAGCTAGACACGAAACAATCAATCAGCTTAGAGACAACTACAGTTCAAAACAATGGACTACAGCAGCAACAATCAAAAGAAGCACAATCATGATTAAGGAGTGAGATAGATGCCTGCTAATGCTGGCAAGAACAGACTATAGACCAAGAAGCAAGAGAAGCTAGATGAATTTGAAAAATTTTTAGCTATGAAGACTTAAAAAGGCATGCCAATCAATAGCTAGAAGGAGAACTTACTGCCTTCTCACTCGTTACAGACAAATTATGAGAGTAAATTTGCAGGGATTGAGGGATTTTCTGACTTTGCAAAAGATTTTAGTCTAATGAAAAACAAGATACTGCAGCTGCAGCAAAGTCTAGCTTAAAATGAAGAGAAAACTAATAATCTAGAATCATAGGTTGACAAGCTAAAGACTGAAAATTTGAAACTAACAACTGATGTTAAGATTATCCGGAATGAGCATTCTGAGATTCTACATAAGCTTGTTAATATTGATAAGAAAAATCAGCAACTGTATATAGAAAATGAGATATTGAGGAAACAGATAACTGAAGATGGAAATATGATCAATAAATCGTATGATTAGAGAATTGCCAGTGGTGGAGATCAAATGAGTCAAAGTTTTGATAAGTAGAATGAGTAAAGAAAATTATCACCTTTTCAAGGTGTCCTCAATAAAGATAGATCTTTCTCTAATAGCAGAGATGACTCAGTGCCCAAACCTAAAACCATTCAAATCTAAAAGCCTAGCACTTCAAAAAACATGAACGCTGAATTTTTAAGTTTTCAGCCCTCTCTTAATCAGACCTATCACAATCAAACTCTGAGTGAAGATGGTGAAATGCTCAAGCAGCAATTGACTTACAATGATCACAACTTCCATAACCAGCCAAGCACCTATCACAACCCCCTTCTATCTATTTCAAACGAACGAATTTACGCTCAGAACAATAACCGAGTTGGTGTTGATTAGAATTCATTCCATTTAAGTAACAAACACAATCCAGTACTATCAAATCAATCTCAAAATCAGTCAATTAATCACTCAAGAATAGTGAGTGCTAATTTCAACCCTCAGATTAATATTTCAAACATGAACATTCAGGAGACGCCGAACACTCCAAATCAAATGGTAATGGTCATGTCTGATGAAACTCCAAGAGGCAGAAGAAATGATGGTATACCTTATTTGCACGCCCCCTCTAATCTAGACACATAGAGTAGGTCTAAGCAATATGTGGTTGGAAAGGGCTTGACTCCTTCAGGTAGCAATCAAAATTTAGGCTAAATGCAGTTAAATGAGCAGGAGTAGCTCTCTGACTGGGTCATTGAAAGAATGAGATTATAGCAGAAGTGATGAAATTAAATTATAAATTTTGAAATTAAGATTAGATATTTTAGCTTAACTTCTTAATTTAATATCTTCAGACTCTATTTTATTATTGCGTGATTTATCAATGAGGAGAGGCTTTTCTGATGATCTAGTCAGCCCTGATAACCATATGTGGCGATTTTTTCCTTCGTTCTTGACTATTGTTAGATCTGCGAGTGTTTAGTATTTCCTTAGAGCTTTTTATAATCTTTAAATCGTTTACTCTATCGAAATCAATAAATGATGAATATGTCTAAGGAGTTTTATCTCTGCTAATACTAATGATCCTAGGTTCAAGTTTAACAATATGGTCAGCCTCATTATCACTTGCTCTTTATTATCTTAATATCTAAGTAATCAATTTCATGCTGCGAATGTCATCTTCTCTAACTATCTCTGTCCTACACTCACCTAGCTTTTTCTTGGTGATAATCTGGACTTCTTTGATCTATTAAGGACTTAGAGACCTCTTTTTAGTCTAAACAATAGCAATTTGATTTGTATCCACATCTAGTGTCACTCTGATCTGGTTGCCAATAAGAGTTTTGATAGTTTAAGATGACTATTAAGGTGACCTAGATCTCACTAACTATTTTGCTTGCCTTGATATCTGCTCTCTAATAAGTTAATCATTTTGAATCACAAATATCTAGTCAGCTGCTTCTGGTGTTCGGAACAATAAGTCATCCATTATGTCAGGTTTCGGTCTAATCGAAGGATCTGCCTATGGAATAAGACTTGATTCCATGTAAGCTTTGGAAATTGGAACCCAGTAGTTAAAACTCATGGGCTTGGCAAAAGCATATTGATTGCTATGCAAAGCTTAAATCTTTTAAGTTATTTCTTAAGACTCAGAAACCAATGGCAAGTTTTTCTTAAACTCCTCAAAATCATCTCTTTACTAATCACTTTGAAATGAGGGTTAGTGGAAGTCCATATTGCATCCATCTTGCAACACTTACAGAGATGGATTAAAATTTTGCTAAACTTTCATGCAGCAGGTATACATCATTTCCGAGGTACCCATATTTTTCAATGCTTTATAAGGATGACTTCTACAGTCACCTATCTAATTCAAAGTAAACCATGTATCACACTATTCACAATACTAAGCAGGATAGACAATAGCTCTAAATTTCTCGTATATCTCTTGCCAGCATATTCTATACTTGTCCCTGAATTTCTTGATGAATTGGTCACCGTCAAAGTTCTTATCTATCTCATGAGAGACTAAAATATCTCCGTAAGCTGATACAATACTTTTGGCATCAGGTTTAAGAGTCCTGCATTGTGTCTTCCTCATATTTTGATCAGTCATTATTTGATTACACTAGAAGCATGCTTGTATGTTGTTTGTTTCAATCATCTACTCCACCACTGTTTTGTAAAGTTAACTGATAAACTTATCTTTTCTAGGCTATAACTATTTGATTTATGCAATATCTATATTCTTGGCTATATCGCCTACAATACGATGACTCATATTCTTCAAGTTCAGAGTACAGCTATCTATCACTCTTACAAAGTGGTCCTACAAGTACATCCTCCAAAGTTTTAGATAGAGTTCATCAAGACCAAGAAACAGTGAAGAAACCACCAAATTCAAGCAGTTCTAGTCATTAACCAAAGCAATAGATCTTTCTAAGTCATCAAACTGAAGGTATTCGATGATCCATCTAAAAGAGTCAATGTTGCAATTAATCGTTATCTCTACTCCTTCGTCATCCTTTACATCCTTAATAACTCCAGATATGTGAGGGATGTTCATTCTTAGCCACTACTTATCCAAGGCAATTTCATGAGAGATCGGATCAGATGGAGCTGACTTAAGCTTGAGTTTCACAAGATTAGGGTTAAAAGTATTAGCAGGCGCCATTCTATGCGAAGTCTTCTAATCATTTGTAATTGTACTACTATTATTAGTTTTCTTGCCAACTGAGTTATCTCTAGTGCTGTGGGGGTTTTAAGTTGGGAGTGCCAATTTAAGATGCCTCTGATCAATTTTACGAACTTGTCGCGAAGGAATCATATGAAAATTCTAAAGATTTGTGGTCGTAGTGGTAGTAGCAGTTGATGTTGTATTTGGAGAAGAATTTGATATTGTGGATTGCTTCAATTGATCAGAAGATGATATATTTCCTAAATGCTAGTTATTCTCTTATTAGTTGATATAGTTATCTCGCCTTGGCCCCATTTAGTAAGGATCTTGGTCAGAAGTATCTGAATCCTAATTATGATTGTTTAGATAATCTTGCATATTGAAATCAGTGATTGCTCCATTCTGTTAATCAGTGGCTACTGAGTTATTGATCTAATCCAGACTTTTCCTTTTCTTCAAAATGCTGTTATTTACTACAATTCTTTGCTTGATATTAGGAAGATGGTGTTGACTATATTCAGATTGCTGCATTGCTTGCATATTATGCTGTGGCGGCGATTTAGACTATGAAAACCTTAATTTCTAAGCTACTATTAGTTTATGTTTATTGAGGGAATCTCTATTGACATTGTTTGTGATGTAATTATTTCCAAGTGATTCTCTTGATGTCCTTAAGTTTGAATCCTTGTGAAGTATATTGATAGTTTTGTTTGCATTTCTCATTGATAAGTTAGTGAAACTATTGCTTCCTTGGTTGACTTAAGGTAAAGCATCCTTCTTTGCAGCATAGACTGGGGCAACTCTGGCTAACTAATTTGACTAGATTACCATCGATGATGTTTATAATGGTGATCGAGGTCCATTCATTATAGCACCTAGTTGAGAGCTACTTAAGCCCTTTTCAACTTAATTATTTTAGTAGTATTCATCGAGAAACTTTTTTTATGCTGGTGTTAAGCCTTAACTAAGAAGCGGAGATCCAAGTTGCTGATTCTTAGGAGACCCACTCTACTTTTTATCATTCGGTGTGACAACTATTGCCACATAATTTAACCTGAAATAACTTACTTAGACTGAGATTATCGAATTTAGAGCCAACTATCATTGGTTGCGGCTGCTACAGCAGATTATTTTGCTAAATCTAAGACATTGAATTATTAAATAAAATAATTTCAATTTTATTATAAACCATTATCATTGGAATTATTCAGGCATGCGGGGTTTTGGGGTTTTGGGG